AACGTCTGCTGCTAGCAAGGATTGAACTCTCAACCTTCTGAGTGGGAGGCAAGTGTCTTCACTTCTAGACCACTGCGTTGCTCTAGAAAAAACCCCCACTGTAAATAAATAAATAAAATTAAATACCCTCTCTAAGTATTTAATCTTCTTAATGCCCTCTGAAAGGGGACTATCTTAACATTTTTTTAAGGATCGTAACAAAGAGGGACCTTTGGGCCATGATGTTCCAGAGGGTGATGGCTGCTCTTGAGAATATGCACCTCTGAATCCCACCTCTCTTGATTTCTTTTGGGGCAGACACCCAAAGGATCCCCTTCCTTCTAGAATAGAATAGAATAGAATAGAATAGAATAGAATAGAATAGAAGCTGGAAGGGACCTTGGAGGTCTTCTAGTTTAGCCCCCCCTCAAGCAGGAGAACCTATACCTATCTCAGACAAGTGATTGTCTAGTCTCTTCTTAAAAATCTCCAGCTATGGAGCACCCATGATTTCTGGAGGCAAGCTGTTCCACTGTTTAATTGTCCTCACTGTCAGAAAGTTTCTCCTTAATTCCAGGTTGCTTCTCTCTTTGATCAGTTTCCAACCATTGTTTCTCGTCCTTCCCTCTGGTCCTTTGGTGACAGTAGATTTTACAAGAGATGGTTTTGAAGCCATGGTTTAATTCTAGCTTAATGAGTAAGCTGTAGTGACTGGCATCACACAATTTACAGAACACGGTTTATAATCTATGGAAATGGGTTTCCATATTACATTCTAAGCCAGTCCCAAATAAGGGGTTAGTCTGGCTTAGATCAGCCATCCGATAGGTATTTGGACCTTAGCTCTTAACAGAATAATAGAGTTGGAAGGGACCTTGGAGGTCATCTAGTCCAACCCCCTGCTCAAGCAGGAAAACCCAATATCATTTTAGGCAAATGGCTGTCCGGTCTATTCTTAAAAACCCCCAGTGATGAAGCACCCACAACTTTTAAAGGCAAGTTGTCACACTGATGAGTTGTTCTAACGTAACTGAATCAAGCAAATAATTTTTGCCCCCTCTTACCATAATAGAAATTGGTTCAGTTTAAATAGAGGGGATGTTTCAATTGCTCAGTTCTTTTTGTCCTCTGTGATGCAAAGTTTGATTCATGTATCAAACAGGCAGGTTTCACATCCAGGCGAGTGAGGCGATTTATAGCAAATATTGTAGTGATGATTTATGGAAGAACAGGGCCAGCTGAGGGCATGTCACCCTGAAATACAGTTGAGTTTACATCATAGATGTAAATTGTTTGAAGGGTCATTCCTCTGGAAAGTTCACGGCTTCAAGTTTCATGGGAACGCAAGAAAGACGTGAAACCAAACATTTTCAGGAACCTAATTTGGATATTTTCTTATATATGCCTTGGCAAGTTCCTTTTCTCTCAATTCCTTCTAGTTTTTTTTTTAAGAAAACAACACACACACACACCCCAATACACTTCCGTTTTTAAAATTGTGCAAACAGTGTTTTCTTTGCACGAGCCTTCTAAAATGCAGGAGGCCAATTTTATGGCTTACTTTGCTATTTTCACGCTTCCTGCCTCAAAATTGTGTTGCTGGTTTTGTTTTGTTTTTTTATTTTACCAACTTTTGTCACTTGGAAATGTTGATGTTAATTGGGGACAGCAGACTTAGCCATGTGTCAGTTTGCAGATATTTATGTTGAACAAGTTCATCACAGCTACAGTTCTCCGAAGAGAATTGTGTTAGTTTATGGTAGCAAACAACCTGGAAGATGCTGGGTGACACCTTTTCTGACTAACACCTTTTTTATTTAAAACCTTCCACTTATATTTGTTCCTTGGAAAAGGCACTACAAGATTCTTCACCCGACCGCAGTGGCTTCTGATGGGCTGCATGGCTTCATCCTTCTTCACCACTGCTCCAAAGTTACACTTAGTAACTGAGTGCCTTACTTTACTTCCTGAACATCGTTCCTAAGCATATATCCCTTACCCACATTTCACAAGAAATAAAATATAATATATTGCTTGCATCTCCTCTGTTTTCATGTTCTCCGTGGTGGTAAATCTCTCTGGACTTCAAAACCCCAGTAGGCTCTGCATTTGGGTTTCTGTTAAGGCATTGTTTTGGTGGAATCCCAGACTCTAAGGTGGAATCTGTCGAGAATTTCCTCCAGTGAGAACATAGATCATCCCCTCACACTAAAGGCGGTGAGATGTTGCTATTTTCTAAGCGTTTCCTGCCTTGACCTAACACTTCCCCATCCAGAGACTCCATATCACTGGTAGGGGATACATGAAAACCACTGTTAAGTTCAAGACACTAGTTACATCATTTGACCACAAGAATGCTCAGCTTCCAGAAATATCAGGGCTGTAGCAAATAAGGACAATGACTTGACTCCCTCAATCCTGAGTGAAGTTTTATGAACCGACATGACCCTTAGTATCAACAATGGCAACGGATGACTATCAGATGATGCCCCCCCATCTCCTTCCTGTGGCCTTCAACTATCTTCTCCTCTCTGATCCTTACCATCTTTACCAAGGATCACCTGAAATGATCATCTGAATAGTTTCATGGTTGATGTAGTCTCATCTCAGAAGGACAAGGAGCGCCAGGTCTGTCTCACCAAGCTTTTTAATCCTTCTTCCTTGATGCCTGCATGTTGCTTTTAGCTAGCATTCAAAAACACTCTTCACAGACTTGTGATTTACTTATTTTTTTTTCCACCAGCCAAGATTTCTTCAACTCTCTAACTAACAAACAATTCCATTTCTCCCCCAAAAATGTCCTTCTTGGATTGGCTTGCTCAGGACCATCATCTATGAAAGCAAAGGCCGTGGTGGGGGCTGACTTTTAAGAAGAAAACAACATTCTCAGCAGTCATTGCAGACTGAATTAGAGGCAAGTCCTGCCAAAATTCCTCCTCTTCAAGGAATTTTTGGCGACTGCCTCCTTAGTGTCCTTTTTTCGGGGTGTGTGTGTGTATGTGTGTATGTATGTGTCTTGTGACTCTGACTAAATACATGACATGACGTTGCTAGTTAGCGTTGATATTTTTTGCTGCGTGCACTTCAAGGTTTTGGTTTTTTTTAAATTCCTTTCCTAAATGCTATTTTTTTTGCTGAAATAAGATGTAGCAATGTAGGTCCTCCTAGTCAAATCTGCTCCAGAGTTCTGGCAGACACCAAACATCATAAGATTCTTCTTAGCTGATTTTTTTTTTCAAATAGAGAATAACTGAAATAAGGTTATTTTAAAAGCAGAAACTCCTATTTCAAGGAAAGATAAAGGCCACTCTTTTGAAGATGACAAAGTCCACATTCTGGACAGAGAGGACCATTGATTTGAAAGAGGAGGTCAAAGAGGCCATCTACATTAAGACTGAACAGCCCTCTCTCAACAGAAGGGGAGGGATACGACACCATCTATCTCTTGTCAACAACACATTTGCACCAGTGGTGGGATTCAGCTGGTTCGCACCGGTTTGGCAGAACTGGTAGCTAAATTTTGCTGAGTTTGGAGAACTGGCTTAATGAACAGTGCTTCTGGAAGTCCATTCTAGGTCTTGGAGGCCTGGAGGAGACCTCCCAGCCTAGGACGGCCCATCGGAAGTGCGTGGATGTCACTTCCGGAAGTCCGTTCTAGACCTCAGACGCCCAGGCCTGCATCCAATAAGAGAACCAGTTGTTTAGGTATATGAATCCCACCACTGATTTGCACTATTCAGGTGACCCTGAGTGCACAGATAAACCTCTAAGTGGCTCAAGAGTTCTCAGGGAGAGCGCTAACACCCAGATGACTGCAAGGAATATAAATCCTTCCATTCTCCACCATTCAGTCAGAACTGAAGAAGCTTCTTGGATGAGAAGTGAAATGTCTTCAAAGAAAAACAAAGAAAGCCCTGTTGCCTTTTGAAAAAGCATCATTGGGACAACTATGACCTGGATGACTAAGAATCTCCATAGACATCTAACCAGAGATTGTGGGACATCTGGGGCTAATTTCATTTGTTGCGAATCATTCAAGTGAAGATGCAAAGAGTCTAAGGATCTTCTTATATCAATGACTTTTGGGAACCAATGCATGCTCAGCCACGGGTGAAAACTATGGTTGTTTGGAATAAGCAGGTTGTAAAGGGTTACCCAGAGTTCAATTTTTACCGTTCACAGTCAGCATGATTGAAGGATCTTGAGAGTTGAAGCCAAAAGACCTGTGGGATTCAAATTAGGGAAGGTTTAATTTGAATAGATTTTCTCAAGTTGCAAAATTTATAGGAGAAATGTTAGAAGGGTCATGTTAGAAGGGTCAAGACCATTGATTATATCCCGATGCTGCTGGAAATTATAGTTTCATTTACTAAATTTATTTATTAAATGTGTTTACCGTCCAACTCATATGGAAACAACTTTGGGTGGCTTCAGCAACATTGGTCATTCAGCAACATTAGAGAGGTTATAGCTTCCCCAGCCCTAGTTTAGGGGAATATTGCTTCAAATTAATGTGTTAAATTAAAAAAAAAAAGACAGTGTTTGGCAAAACAAAGAGAGAGATCCAATCACTGTGTTTGCATTATGCCATGATTGGGGAAGGAGAATCTCTGGTCTGAATTGTGTGCAGATGTAAATCACCAGCCTTCCAAATTATTCAAGATGCGCAATTCATACGGGAATGTTTACATGTGAGTTTTATTGAGAAAAAGGAGAATCACCAGAAAGACTAAAGGGAGGCAATTAAGAGAGAGCGAGGGAGAGAGGGAGGGAAGGAGAGAGATGGAGGGAGAGAGAGGGAGAGAGAGAGGGAGGGAGGGAGAGAGGGAGAGAGAAAGGGAGAGAGAGAGAAAGGGAGAGAGGGAGAGAGGGAGGGAAAGAGAGAAAGGGAGAGAAGAAGAGAGGGAGAAAGAGAAAGAGAGAGAGGGAGAGAGGGAGGGAGAGAGAGAGAAAGAGAGGGAGGGAGAGAGAGGGAGAGAGGGAGAGAGAGAGGGAGGGAGGAAGGGAGAGAGGGAGGGAGAGAGAGAAAGGGAGAGAGGAAGAGAGGGAGAAAGAGAGAGAGGGAGAGAGGGAGGGAGAGAGAGAGAGAGAAATGTATATTGAAATAGTGGGCACAGGCTGATTAACAATAACTTAGAGAATGAATAAATGGAACGGAGCAATTATAAAAACGAGGCATTTTTGTGTGTGACATACTGCCAAGCCAAGAAAATGCAATGAATGCTAAGCAGAAAATTTCACACTGCGATGTATATTGCCAGTCAATTGCTGATCTACGAATGTTCTTCTTTTTGGTTTGCCTCATCTGATCTTCCTTCTGCTTTCTTGTTTCCAGTTTTTCTCTAACGTAAGCAACATTTTAATTTCCTCTAAATTTCTTGGGGTGTTTTCAGTTTGACCAACTGCGTACTCTGCTTCTTCCATGTTTCTTTAAAAAAAGAAGCATAACATTCAGCAAGCTTGTCCTCAGGGTTTGTTACCCCAGAGAGCCTGAAGGAGACCAGAAGGGGGTGGAAAGTGTTTGGGTTCCCATAACTGGATCCAGGAGAGTCCATTTTTATACCGGTCCCAAGTTCTTTCATGAAAGTGAGCAGAAAATATTACTAAGATAAAATCTACTCTCCCCCTCTCTGTCAAAATCATTGATCACTATCCGATCATTCCTCCAAATGAGGTTGTCCTTATTTGCAGGAATACAGGTATCACAATAGAGCCCAAAGTTTCTGATGCTAAGCGAGTCATTTGTTGAGTTTTGCCCCATTTTATGACCTTTCCTGCCACAGTTGTTACGTGAATCACTGTAGCTGTTGTTTGTAACATGGTTATTAAGTGAATCTGACTTTGCTCATCAGAAGGCCGCAAAACACGATCATGTGCAACCGTCGTAAACATGAGTCAGTTGCCGAGTGTCTGAATTTTGATCACATGACCCTGGGGATGCTGCAACGGTCATAAAGTGAGAAAAGCAGCCATAAGTCCCTTTTTTTCCCAAGGCACTTGTAACTTTGAATGACTGTTGTAAGTTGAGGACTACCTCAACTATCAGGGGCTGCCCCAAAGAAGAGGGAGTCAAGCTATTCTCCAAAGCACCTGAAGGCAGGACAAGAAGCAACAGGTGGAAACTGATCAAGGAGAGAAGCAACCTAGAACTAAGGAGAAACTTCCTGACAGTGAGAACAATTAACCAGTGGAACAACCTGCCTCCAGGAGCAGTGAATGCTCCAATGCTGGAAGTTTTTAAGAAGAGACTGGACAGCCATTTGTCCGAAATGGTGTAGGGTTCCTGCCTAAGCAGGGGGTTGGATTAGATGACCTCCAAGGTCCCTTCCAACATTATTATTATTATTATTATTATCATTATTATTATTATTACCTATGCAGACTTTTAAGCTATGGATTGGGCGATTCCTTGTTTCCTTCCCATCACAACAAACATCAGCAGCATGAAAGCCTCCACTAATTGTTGGACATGTTTATGGATTGATTAGATGCAAGGAGGAAAGACTCCATCTGAGATATTAATAATAATAATAATAATAATGATAGGCTCCTTGGGTGCAATCCCAAAACAACTGGAGCACCACTTGAACACCATTGGCATTGACAAATTCGCTATTAGTCAATTGCAAAAGGCGGCCTTACTAGGAACTGCTTCCATCCTACGACGATACCTGTAATACCATCAAACATCCACATCTGCCTATCCCAGGTCCTGGGTAAGGACTCGATAGGTAGACAAAATACCAAATCCAGTCTGAACATCTGGCTGACTGTGTGATGATCCTCAATAATAATAATAATAGTAATAATGAATTGGACTGTTGAAGGCCTTTTCCAGGATCTCCTGGCTGTTCATGAGAGGCAGATGAACAAGGAAGAGCTTTAACGGATGTTAACTTACCGAATGCTCCTGCAGAATCACAGGTCACACCTCCAGCAACACCTTTGAATCCCAGCATTCTTGGCATGAATCGGTCCTGATGTTGCAATGCAAAAAAAAAATAAAAAAAAAATCCGATGAATGAATAGTGAATGAAGAAAACTGATGAATGACGGGCAGGGCATGAAAATGGAAAGTGAAAATGCACCCAGCGCTGTCAGTCCTGGAGAATGCAACAAGAATTATGAGTCATCTTGCCAAGAAGGGATATTTTGTTTTCTAGAGGGACGCTGCCCTTCCACACTTGTCTTGCAAGAAAGCACATGATGTCATCATGGTGAACTTACATTTTGGCTCGGAGGAGTTTGTCAATATTTGAAAGGCTGCCAAGACGTTGCTTTAAGCAGAGTGTATGGACACAAGGAATGGAAAATATGCCACATAGAATGACAGAGTTGGAAGGGACCTTGGAGGTCTTCTAGTCCAACCCCCTGCTCAGGCAGGAAACCCATTTCAGACAAATGGCTGTTCAGTCTCTTCTTAAAAACTTCCAGGTTTGGAGCATTCACCACTTCTAGAGGCAGGTTGTCCCACTGATTAATTGTTCTCACTGTCAGGAAATTTCTCCTTAGTTCCAGGTTGCTTCTCTCTTTGGTTAGTTTCCATCCATTGCTTCTTGTTCTGCCTTCAGGTGCTTTGGAGAATTGCTTGACTCCCTCTTCTTTGCGGCAGCCCCTGAGATATTGGAACACTGCTATCATGTCACCCCTCGTCTTTCTCTTCATTAAACTAGACATACCCAATTCCAGCAACCGTTCTTCATATATTTTAGCCTCCAGTCCCCTAATCATCTTTGTTGTTCTTCTCTGTACTCTTTCTAGAGTGTCATCATTTTTTATACATTGTGGTGACCAAAACTGGATGCAGTATTCCAAGTGTGGTCTGGGACACATTATAGACACAATTTAGGCAGGCCGTTTCTTCTCTGAAGTCGGAAAACTGGATAAACGCTTCTCCCCGGTTACAGCACTTAGGGACCGTCCAAAGTTACAACAGCATTGAAAAAAAGAGGCTTATGGCCATTTTTTACACTTACGTCCGTTGTAGCATCCCCATGGTCATGTGAACAAAATTCAAACGCTGGGCAACCGGTTCATATTTACGATGGTTGAAGCAGGTCATGTGGTCTCCTTGTGCGACTTTCCGACAAGCCATGTCAATGGGGAAGCCAGATTCACTTAACAACCGTGCTGCGAATTTAACCATTGCAGTGATTCATTTAACAACTGTGGCAAGGAAAGGGGGCAAAGCTCATTTAACAAATGTCACAGCAACAGAAATTTGGGGCTTCACTGTGGTCATAAGTCAAGGACTTCCTATATTTATGCCAGTGCGATGCATGTAAGCACGGGTGGAACTTTTTAATTTTCACAGCTACCACTAGGATCTCGGAGTCCTAGTGGACAATCATTTAAATATGAGCCAGCCGTGTGCTGCAGCTGCCAAAAAAGCCAACACAGTGCTAGGCTGCATTAACAGAGGGATAGAATCAAGATCACGTGAAGTGTTAATACCACTCTTCAATGCCTTGGTAAGGCCACACTTGGAATACTGCATCCAGTTTTGGTCACCACGATGCAAAAAAGATGTTGAGACTCTAGAAAGAGTACAGAGAAGAGCAACAAAGATGATTAGGGGACTGGAGGCTAAAACATATAAGGAACGGTTGATGGAATTGGGTATGTCTAGTTTAATGAAGAGAAGGACGAGGGGGGACATGATAGCAGTGTTCCAATATCTCAGGGGCTGCCACAAAGAAGAGGAAGTCAAGCTATTTTCCAAGGCGCCTGAAGGCAGGACAAGAAGCAACAGATGGAAACTAACCAAAGAGAGAAGCAACCTAGAACTAAGGAAAAACTTCCTGACAGTTAGAACAATTAACCAGTGGAACAACCTGCCTCCAGAAGCGGTGAATGCTCCAACACTGGAAGTTTTTAAGAAGAGACTGGACAGCCATTTGTTCGAAATGGTATAGGGTTTCCTCCCTGAGCAGGTGGTTGGACTACATGACCTCCAAGGTCCCTTCCAACTTTATTATTATTATCATCATCATCATCATCATCATCATCATCATCATCATCATCATCATCACCATCATCATCTGGAGCTGTTTTGGCCACCTCTTATGGACATCTCTGGAAATAAGAAAGAACGCTGCTTCTCCTCACTGTGTTTTAGTTAGTTATCGTATTGGTTCCCCCAAGATCTAAAGATAGCACATATAGCTACTTTTTTATCCACCCAGCAATCTTGCAAGTGAGAAAACATACAGGGGCTGCAACTGGCTTGTCATCTAATGAACTTCACAGTTGAGTCTGAACTTCAGCTTTTTGGTCTCCTGGGCCCAAACCTGAACTGCCTGCATCACACAGGTTTAATGAAAAGCACAATGGATCTTCACCCTTGAACGTGCCTGATAGTGTTCCTTCCTCCCCCCCCCCTTGGAGTTTTGAAATTAAAAATCCAGAGAAGAACCACCCTAGATAGGAAACTTGCCCCTGCAAACCAGACAGAACAGCGAAGTTAGGTGATATGCATCTGTACATCTATATTGACAAAGAAGATTTCAAGACTGAAATTCAAGATTGCGGAGAAAAGAGTAGGACAACTGCCATACATCCATTTGTTTTCTTTGAATATTTTTTTTGAGAGAGAGAGAGCTCATGATGTTCAGGGTTGTTGTTTTTAGCGAAGAGGAATGTCTATATTTCTCATTAATCTATTCCTGTATGTCAGCAAGAACCCGTATGGGAAGATCTGTGGGCAGAAGCTGAACCACACCGAAACCGAGAACTGCAGAACTGTCTCCTTGTGTTTTTTTTTTTTTTTTCAGGCAATGCTTCAAAGCTGCCCTAGAAGAAGCTGACCAGCCCAGGACTGACTAATAGCAACAGTGTCTACTAAAGCATTCAAACCTGAAACACAGCCCCATCTTCAAGGCCTGCAAAAGAAGCTGGATCCAAATCATGTGTGTTTTCTCGTGTGTTTGCTTGGAGAAGATCGCAGAGTCAAAGTTGTTTATGGCCCTCTTCTGATGTTGGTGGAAGCAGGTGATCAGGAAAGGTCACCCTCCAATCCCATTCATGGCACCAAGATAAAGTAGCTTAGCATCTGCCTGTAGCCCCTGGCCTTTAAATGTGATATTTAATCCCTAAGTGGTGGCGATGATAGAAGTGGCTTGGATGTACCCGTTGACTGTTCCTCCCTGTGCTTTTTTTAGTAGCTACACCCTCAGGACAACAGCTTTCTCTAACCAGATGCCCTCCAGATAGGGTGGACTTCAACCACCCACAGTTTCAGTCAAGCTGAATGCATCTGCCAAGCACCCAATTGGAAGAGACCGTTTCAGTCATGGAAGTTCTTCTTTACTTGACATGGGTATCAAATTTCCCCTCCCAGGTTTAAAGTGATATACCAGATTCTCTTTCCGGTAATAATAGACAAAAATAGAAGAATAGAGTTGGAAGGGACCTTGGAGGTCATCGAGTCCAACCCCCTGCTCTTGCAGGAAATCCTATACCAGGGGTAGGCAACCTTGGCTCTTTTATGACTCGTGGACTTCAACTCCCAGAATTCCTGAGCCAGCCGTGCTGAGGAGAAATGGAGAGGTTTCCATGCTGAGCCATGCTGGCTCAGGAATTCTGGGAGTTAGTCCACGAGTCATAAAAGAGCCAAGGTTGCCTACCCCTGCCCTATACCATTTCAGACAAATGGTTGTCCAGTTTCTTCTTAAAAACTTCCAGAGTTGGAGCATTCACAGCTTCTGGAGGCACGTAGTTCCACTGGTTAATTGTTCCAACTGTCAGGAAGTTTTTCCTTAGGTCTAGGTTGTTTCTCTTTTTGATTAGTTTCCATCCGTTGCTTCTTCAGGAGCTTTGGAGAATAGCTTGACTCCCTCTTCTTTGTGGCAGCCCCTGAGCTACTGGAAGACTGCTATCATGTCCCCCCTCACCCTTCTCTTCATTACATGACTAGATATTCCCAAATCCAGCAACCATTCCTTATATGTTTTAGCCTCCAGTCCCCTGATCATCTTGGTTGCTCTTCTCTGCACTCTTTCTAGAGTCTCAACATCTTTCACACTTACAATATAGGTCCATCTTTTTCAAAGGTACATAAATAATTCCTCCCTAATTCCAAGGGGAAAGACAAACGTCAGAAAGCACCATCAGCAGGAGCATCTTCCATGGGAGATAAGAGAGTTCCATTCCAAAGGAGCAGAGGACTTCAGCCGGGCAGGGCAGGGAAACGGCTGATTTCTGTTTGTTTTAGGCTGCTTACAAGAATGTCGCTCGTTGAGCACTTTTTGTCCTCGTGAGCAAAAAAATGTGATGCTACCGATGCCAGATACTAACTGCCAGATTAGCAGTTTGAAGCTATTAATTGCTTCAGATGGTAACCCCATTCAACAACAGTGGATTTTCTATTTCTATAGAGGACATACTATAGAATTTCTATAGATTTTCTATACATCTATCTTCTATAAATTTTCTACTTCTATAGAGTACATTCACTTAATGTGATTCTAATTTTTCTATTTATTTCTATTATTATTATCATTATCATTATTGATTTAATCTTTAATTTGATTCATAGTCTGGGAGTGGTAAAAACTTAACAGTTCAAGTCCTAACCAAACACTTAAGAGCTTTTATTAACATTTTAGTATTATTATTGTTGTTGTTTTTTCTATTTCATCTATTATCTCTATTTCTATAGATTTTCTTTCAATCTACTCTATAGATTTTCTACCTCTATAGAGTACATTCTATAGAATTTCTATAGGTTTTCTATCAATCCATTTTCTATCGATTTTCTACTTTTATAGAGTACATTCACATAACATGATTCTACTTTTTCTATTAATTTCTATCATTATTTCTACTTTATCTATTATTTCAATTTTTTACAGATTTTCTATAAATCTAGTCTATGGATTTTCTATTTGTATAGCATGCATTCACTTAATGTGATTCTATTTTTTTATTACCGTATTTTCTGGTGTATAAGACGACTCGGCGTATAAGACAACCCCCGACTTCGGAGCCGATTTGCATGGTTTAGAAAGTCATCTTATACGCCGGAAAATACGGTACTATTATTATGATTATTGTTATAGCTATTATTTTTATTTTTATAGATTTTCTATAAATCTCTTTCTATAGGTTTTCTACTTCTATAGAGTACATTCACTTAGCGGGATTCACTTAACAAGGGTGGCACTGAAGGTGATAAAATCAGACACAACTCTCTTAATAGCTCCGTTGTGGTCGTAAGCCAAGGATTTCCTGCACTCTTTGGAGAAGGGCTGGCGAGAGGGGCTGGCTGCAAGGGCACGCGGCACGGAGACCTGGATGGGGAGCGGCCCATCTGCTTTGTGCAAGAATTCAGAGGCTCTTCAGCTTTGCCAGTTGTGAAGGCCGAGTTCAAGTGGAAGGTTATTATAGGCCAAATGATGACAAGGGTAGATTTGTGGAAGGAAGGAAACTTTGGCTTCCCCGCTGGCCTCTGAATGAGATCATGGAAGGGTGCATTTGTCTAGCAGCAGCTGAGCAAGTTCCTTATGCTGCAGCTTTGCCATTTGTTCTGATCTCATCCCGGCCTCATCAAAGAGCAGGCACTTAAAAGGATAAGCGGGACCCACCAGAAGGAAAAATGAAAATAAAAATAAAGAAAAAATGGCTGGGCAAACCATCTCCGGCAGCCGAGACAGACTCAGGCGCATGTCTTGGCTCTGGGGAGCAAGTCTCGCTTCGTTCCCGAAGCCTTGAGCTTCACGGGAAATGAAGAACTGGGCTCACCTGCACAAACAGAACCGCGTCCTGGGAGCACGCGAAGGGTCCTCCTGCTGAAATGTTAGCTCAGCTTGGTCTAAAGGCTCCAGATTTCAAGCCGGATCGACGGGAGAAGAGTTGGTGTGAACTTGGGACCCAGCCTGCAGAGCAGGTGCTCAGTGGGACCTTCCCACCTCAACCAGAGGGGGAGCCGGAGAGGCTGCACCACGGTTGTCCTTTCATGCCGCTTTCTCCAAAGTGGCTCCCTCTAGTGTCTAAGGCAGTGAACAACCGGTTCTCTTTGTGGATGCTGCTTCTGGAAATCCATTCTGAGCTCGGGCAACAAAAAATTAGCTACTGGTTCTGCCGAAGTGGTGCGAGCCAGCTGAATCCCACCACTGGTCTATGGAGATTCTCAGTCGTTCAGGTCACGGTTGTCCCAAAGGTGCTTTTTTTTTTTTTTCAGGAGGCACCTGGACTTTCTTGTCTTTCTTTGAAAATGTTTTGTTTCTCATCCAAAAAGCTTCTTCAGCTCTTCTTCACCATCCGGTCAAAGCTGAAGAAGCTTCTGGGATGAGAAGCGAAAGGTCTTCGAAGAAAAACAAGGAAGGCCAGTTGCGTCCTGAAAAAGCACCTTTGGGGCTCCCTCTAGTGGTACGTGACTTCAATGCCAGAACTCGTACCCCCTTTTGGGTCCAGCCTGGCTTAGAATTTGGGGGAGTTGTGGCTTCAACACACTTGGAAGGTGTTAGATTGAGGAAGACAGCAGCTTTGGAAACATATCCTACAGACCTTTTTTAATCAAGATCACGTGAAGTATTAATACCACTTTACAATGCCTTGGTAAGGCCACCCTTGGAATACTGCATCCAGTTTTGGTCACCACGATGTAAAAAAGATGCTGAGACTCTAGAAAGAGTGCAGAGAAGAGCAACAAAGATGATTAGGGGACTGGAGGCTAAAACATATAAAGAACAGTTGCTGGAATTGGGTATGTCTAGTTTAATGAAGAGAAGGATGAGGGGGGACGATAGCAGTCTTCTAGTATCTCAGGGGCTGCCCCAAAGAAGAGGGAGTCAAGCTATTTTCTAAAGCGCCTGAAGGCAGGACAAGAAGCAACGGGTGGAAACTAATCAAGGAGAGAAGCAACCTAGAACTAAGGAGAAACTTCCTGACAGTGAGAACAATTAACCAGTGGAACAATCTGCCTCCAGAAATTGTGGGTGCTCCAGCATTGGAAGTTTTTAAGAAGAGACTGGACAGCCATTTGTCCGAAATGATATAGGGTTTCCTGCCTGAGCAGAGGGTTGGACTAGATGACCTTCTTCTTGTTGTTGTTGTTATTGTTGTTGTTGTTGTTATTATTATTATTATTATTATATAACCCAACCTCACCTTATTATCGTGAGTAGAAAGATAAAAATTGGTGGTGGTAGTGGTGTTACTATTAGTAGTAACGGTAATTCAAGTTAGTAATGTGCTTCCCGGTCTTTTTAGATATGCGAACCCAGCTAAACATTCAGCTTGGTGATTATAGGCATGAAAGAATCTGGACGTTGAGCTTGCATTAATTTTATTTTAATTTTACAACCCGTGATGAGTTGTATTATTTATGTCCCATGGATATGGACACAATTAAGCCAATGACACACACGTCACAGATATCTTTTGTGAACTCTCAAGCTTCCTCCTTCCGTTATATATTCAAGATGGACAGTATTTAATATTTATTTGTTATGTATATGTAGGGGTGTGGGTCTACACATATTTTGTATATAGTATGTTTAGGTGTGTGTCATGTATGTGTTTCACTTTGAGAACAGGCAACTAAATTTCATTTTTGATGTGTGCCATTGTGCCCACAGTAAAAAATGACAATGAAAGTTATCTTATCTTATCTTTTACACCATTTGTGTAGTGAGTAAACCTAATTTGTCTCATGATTTCAACACACACATGACATTAATCTCTCCGCCTACATCCTCTTGCATTAAATGGAAATTTGGGTGTAACAGAGTCTCCAAGCGGCCTATTATTTAATTCAATTTAATTTAATTATTGATTTCATTTTATAAAATAAAAAATAGTTTTTATTAAATTAAAAAAAATCTACAGCCCCTCCCACCTTCGAACACATCTCTGGACCATTCACAATACTGTTGTCATATGAAAACACTGTTTGGGTTAAAATACGTTCCTCTTCTTTGCTTTTTTATTATTATTTTTTACATTTTTTTTAAGCTTTCCTTTGCTTTTTTGTTTCTTTCCTTAATATATTCAAGGAATAAACATTGTGAATGATGATGTTTTAAAAAGTTTTCTTCTCATTTTTGTTCCTTTCCTTGATGTATTAAAGGAATAAACATTGTAAATGATTATAACCTAAATAAATAACATTTAGAAATAGCTAATGAATACAGAAGGCATGCTTTCAATTTTGGGGGAAAGGCATACAAGTTGTGGGGAAACGTGACTTTCAGTCGAATTG